GCTTAGCATATAATTTCCCAGTTATAGAAAGGAGAATTACAGATCTGCAGTTTGATGTGATCATGTGGTCACCCTTTTTGTAAATGGGTACCACTATTGCATTCGTCCAAGCCTCACACATTAAGCCAGTTTTGTCTACCACCATAAAGAGAGCAGCAAGGGGAGAGGCCCACCAATATGGATCCAGTTTAAAGATTTCAGGTGGCATCACATTTGGTCCAGGGGCTTTCCCCAACTTTAGTTGGATAATTAACTCTTTTATTTCATCGGGCGTTATAGGAGGCTGGTCAGGTAAGTCATCCAAAGAAAACTCAAATAGTTCCATTACACTCATCCTCCCCTCATAAAATAGAGTTGAAAAATATTGAAGCCAAGTATGAAGGGAAATAGCAGACATATTGGGGACTTCCTCACAAAATGATACTGAGACTATAGCCCAGAAATGTCTATATTTATTTAGGGTCAAAGCTTGTTAATAAAGTTATTTCTCTTTCTTTTTATAAGTTTTTGGAGCTGATTTTTAAGATTAAAATATTCTGATGGCAAAGCTATGCCCATGAAATTTCAATAGTGATGGTAAAGGATTTTCAGATCCCTACGTTCCTTACCAAACCAAGAGTTTGTATAGTTCTTCCCATTTTATTTTAATAATTTCTGCTGGTTCACCTGTAGTAATTATGGAGGATCTATACTCCTGGAATGTTTTAGTTTTAAATAATTGTTGAGTCTTTTGAATTAAAACTGTGTCCCAGAAAATACTTGGCAGAAAGTCTAACTTAATATCTAAAGACGGTATGACATAAAGCGATCCTGAAGACAATTAAAACTTAGTCAAAATTAAAGGAAGATAATCACTAATAATATAATTGCTCACAGAAAAATCTACAATATAAATCCTAAATGAAGGAGAGATCAAGCTGTAATCAATCACGCTGGAGCCTCTTGGTGATGTAAAAGTGAATTCACCTGAGTTAGCAAAATTAGTTAAAACATTAAGCCAAATTCTCTTAAAATGAGTACAGAATTTGGCAAAATTCAAATGTTTTTCCTTGTATAGTCTCCTGAGGGAAAAGGAAGGTGGGAACGGAACATCATGATCAACTTCTAAAGCCTTAAAGAATACTGAGTCATCACTACCCGTTCTAGCATTGAAGTCTCCCACTAGAATTATTTCTGCAAAGTGGAATTTTGGCTCCCGTTCCTCCATAAGGTTTGTTAGGTAATTCCAGTGCTGGAGAAGGGTTGGATTGTTTAGACAAGGATAAATATATAGATTTATTATCATTAAAGTGAATTTGTCAAGGTCAAGCTTAATAGGTTGCACCATGGGACTACATGTCTGTAAAGTAATTAATTCTGAATTAAAATATAGGGAGACAAGAATTGGATAAGCCAACTTGCAAGCTGCTCCTGAGATTAGCTTTAAAAGATGTGAGGGAATAAGATTTAAATCCTTCCACATATAATTGTTTCAATTAAAAGAGTTTTAAACAATTTTTGGTAGAATTTTCAGAAAAGGGAAAATTTATTGTTAGTGTAAAATAACACAGCAATCACTATCATTCATTGCTAGAAGAAAATGTCATCTTTAATAGGTTTTCATAAACCATGGGAATTTGGAAATACATGTGGGAGGGCTTTTCCCATCTCCCACTATTTTCTGTTTCCCTTCCCTGAAAGCCCCCATTTCCTTTCCACTTTTCCTGCTTTCTTTTCTTCACATGCACCAGTTAACCAACCCTTTTGCCCCCTGTCTTCAGCTTTCCCTCCTTCCCTTTCCTCCTTCATCTCTCCCTGGGAAAACTCTGGTCCACTTGTACAGTGCTGGAGGCTGGGCTAGGCCAATTTACACAGAGGAGAACATGCAAAGACTGTTGTTGTTTTTAAATTTCCCCCTGTACCTCTCTCTCCAGACTATTTCTTCTCGGTAGTCTCCATATCCTCACCTTTCCCTGCTTCCTTTCCTCCTTCCCACCAACCAACCTTTTATCTTTATCAGCTATATTATTTATTTACTTCATTTATAGCCTACTTTTCAATGCAATGTGGACCTAAAGCAACTTACAACATTCTCCTTTCCTCCATTTTATCCTCACAACAACCCTGTGAGGTAGGTTAGGCTCAGAATGTGTGACTGGCCCAAGATCACCCTGTGAGCTTCCACAGCAAACATTCTATTCTGGGTCTCCCAGACCCTAGTCTGATACTCTAACCACTACACAATGCTGGCTTTTTGGGGAGTGGATGCTGCTGAACAGTAGCAAGCAGCCAGTCCTGGGTAAGTAATGCAAGTCACATGATAACAAGTTGCCTGGTGGTTCTGTCAGGCATTGCCCTGATGAGATCTCCCTCAAAAGCCTGAACAGCCCAGGAAAGGACCCTGCCCCCTCCCTCTGCCTTTTACTGACATAAACCAAAGCTAGACAACTCCCACAATAGCCACTGACAGGGTATTCATTTGTTAAAGCTACAGGCATTGCTTCTATTATTTGGGGGTTAACTCCCCATTTTTATTTTTATTTTAAGATTTCAGATTTTTTTTCAAACCTAGGGCTTTCCCCGGATATACAGAGAGATGTGTTTTCTGCTCACAGCTCCAATCTCCGGATTTAAGTATCCAAAAATTTGGCCACATTGAGAATTAGATGTAGTGATGATTCCAGTATTCCACATTGTTACAAGAACTGTATCAAAATTATAGAAATAAACAGGTTCAAATACCTGGACATAATAGTGTATTAATACTGATTCCCACTGCATACTGACATGCCATTTAATTGTGGTTCTTCCATTAGAAGGAAAGCTATCATAGTTTGATTCTGAAATACAAACTATGTTCTAACTTTAACTACAAATTGGCAGGGGAAAGCCATCATTAAGGGATTTTTCCCATGAAATGTGATGCAGTGAAAATAATAAAAAATAATAATGGACATGTCTATGCAGCATGGAATCCCCAGAACCATTGCTTTTTGTCACCTCCACTGTCCAAATTCATGGCCAAATGTAATTAAATATGTGTTAATTTCAATAATTTGGTTGACTCTTCTATTCCTGTCACAAAAATTTGCTGACATGCACACATAGCCACTTAGGTTATAATAAATACAACTCAGGTGCTAATGTATCATACATTACAGAGTACACAGTTTTGGCCCGCCCTGTGTCCTGGCAGTCATACATATGTTCCAGGTTCTCCTCAATTCCCAATCATACAGTGTATGATTTAGATTGCAATTGCAGCATGAATGGGCTATAGTCTCCCTGCACTATTTTCCTGACCAGAAACAGTCTAGGTGGTATTACTGGCCCTGTTGGGTTTTCCCAACATGTGGGGCAACATGTACATGTGGGTTTTCCCAGTGGGGCAAATAGTGCATCCCTGGGACTGTCTCAGTCAGAAAGATGTTGGGGACCCTGAAGCCATCACCAAAAGACCATATTCCTTGTGACTACCCATCTTGCTTCCAAAGAAAAGGGGTCATGAAGAAGGACCTGTGAAGCAGAACTGTATGGGATAAGTGGTCCTTTAAGGACCCTGGTCTTTAGCCACATAAGGCACCTTGAATTGGGAATGGAAATAAACAAGCAAAGGGGTACCCCAGTATGATTTTCCTTCACATATCTAGCTGACAAAGTGTTCTGTGACTTCTGAAAGCTCATAGTTAAATAAAAGTTGTTAGTCTTTAAGGTGCTGACCAAATGTTAAGGTGTTACCAAATTAGCAGCCAATACAGGTATCATTCTGTTTTATTTACCAAATTAGCAGCCAATACAGGTATCAAAACATGCACTGCATGCAGAGGAACTGAGGAGCATCAACAACCCATGTGTGACTGTCATACAGAGCTCAGGATGGGGACCCTGGACCCAACCATTGCATTCTTTAATGTGTGAATTAGAGTTGGCAGAGTAGCTAGTATCTACAACAGACTGGAAGCATAGTTAATTTGCCACCAACAGAGAAATATAGTCACTCAGGAACAAAACAAATTTGCCGCCAACAGAGAAATATAGTCACTCAGGAACTGGTGAGGGGAAGGTGATTCTAAGATATATTTTCCTCCAGCTTTCTATTGATCTATCACAAGTCTTTCAAACTGACAGCCTCCTAAATTGAGCATATTTCCTGGGCTTACTGTATCTCCAGTTCTGTTTCTAGCCTTTTTCTTACATCTTTAATCATTAAAGTTTCTCCTTTCTTTTCTTTCCTGTTTGCTCCGGAGGGGGAGGGGAGGATATTGGCAGCATATGAGAGAGTTTCCCTGAGTTTAGATTCTGCCTCTGAAAGCTGCCCATGACAGAAATTGCACACGGTCACATTCAACCCAAGCAGCTGCCTTTTTCTCAGTTTGTATCATGCTTCATATAGCATAAAACAGCTCTAGTAGAGACCCTTTAGACAAAGTATGAGAAACATCAGTTCAGTGGATTTGGGCTTGTCAATATGGCTAATAGTAACTAATGGAAAGGGTAGCATACCTTCAGTGATGGAGGTACAGAGGCCAAAGTGTTGGACTATGAGATCTGGGTTCAAACTCCCACTTGCCCTAAAACTGACTGAGTGTTCTTGGGCAAATCTTTTTCTCTCAGCATTGTTATGAGGGTAAAATGGAGGGAAAGGGACCATGTATACTTCCTGAAGGAAGGGCAGGATAAAAATACTCAAAAAATAATATAATAAACCATAACTAGAATTATTTTTTAAAAATGGCAAGGACTGCTTTCTAACTGTTTATCTGGAGGCAGTAAGGTTTCCTCTGGAAGTTTCGGATAATGTCCTAGAAAGCAGTTAAAAGCTAGAACTCCTAGCACATCCTTGAAGGGGAGGAGCACTTGTTAATAAGACTTTACACAGCAGTCACAATGAATGCCATGCATGGACACCATATCCATTTCATGCAGAATATCAACAGAAAAGAGTGTCCCTCCATTTCACACCAAAGAGTTGTATTTCTCTGTACACCCCTCCACCAAGAATGAGAAAATCACAGTCTTACCTCCTGATGTTTAGAATGGGTAGTGTAGAGGCTCAACACTGGCCAATACTGCAAAATAAAAAATAAAATAAAAAGTGAATCACTCTTCACTGATTGATTTTTTAAAAGCCTTCCCCTGATAAACTATTGAGTGGAAATGCATGGGCCCATTGGAAATCCTTGCTCACACAGGCAGTCCTTTTGCATTAATGACTGATGCAGAAGAAATAAAATGTCATATGCTGAATTTGGTGGGTGCTGTCCCCTCCATATCCCCGCAGCACTTACTTATTAAATATCTTAAGAAGGACAAGGCAGATTTGTTCTAGACACCCTTTTATACTGTAGGCTGAGCCCAAGTACCATCCCCTGTCCTCCTCCCCAGCCATTCTTCACTCAAGGCATTTTGGCTAACCTTTCTCCATAAAGCATTGTTTGGCAAACTTGACTAAAGACATAATTGTCATTTGACATGACCAGATATAATTAGAAATATTTGATGTCCTACCGACTATGTGAGAAAATGCCCTATAAATAATTTCACAAGGGTCTTAAAGGAGAGAATCTGGGCTATTCAAGAAAGCCAAAGCATGGCATTAGGCCTCTTGAGTGCTATTGCTGGTGTTGTCTTTGCTGAATGACCTCCTACACACTGCTTTCATATCTTATTGCTTTTTTCTTGCAAGGAAATGATACTGTTTCCTATTATGAATAGCTTATTAGGAAATAATTGCAAAAATAATTAAACATCCTATAAAATGACACACTATTATTGTCAATTAAATGTAGAAGTGATGTATAGAAGATCTGGGCTTTCACTTCATACAAGAGATTGGACTTTTCACCAGTTTTCCGCTCACATTTGTATAGAGCACATATACTGCTGCCCGGAATGGTCCCTAGACTACTGGGCAGGGCTTTTTTTCTGGGGCGATGCACCAGAATGGAGTTCTGAAACCTCTTTGACAAAATTCTTTTAAAATGTTGAAAAGTTCATGAGTTTTCAGTATACAGATTGAAAACTTCATTTCCCTCTTGAGAGTTTTGGCACCTCTCCCCCTGTTAAATACTGGGTTCTAGACACATTGCAGTGATCAGCTCTGGTTTATTAAGTGATTTCAGCAAACTACAAGACAAGCTAGCAGGGCCTGAGCCCTGCTTATAAAGCCCGCAAACACCACAACCAACACACACACTCCCAGTGATAGGCTATTTACATTACACCACTTATCTATTTCCTGTTAGTTCCTGGATCCAGGCGAGGTATTGATCTAGAGAAGCAAGCTCAACCTGTTCTAGGTACAGCTTGAGGAATGGCTTTAGGCTTAGTACATAACCCCCCCCCCCCAAGTTCAAAAGCTCCTTAACAGACAAAGTATTTTAAGTAGGCTGGTTTGCGTCGTTCATGGGTTGAACATAGCGGTTCTGTCAGAGGGGTCATGGTCTCTGGACTTGGGTTTGACGTTGCTGGCATGGTGCTGGCAGATGGTAGTGGCATTGGCATGATGTTGGGACAGTCGGTAGCTGCCTGCTCAGGTGCTGCGTCAGCTGGTCTGTCTGGCTACTTGCTGCCCACTCGAAGCTCTCTCGTGAGTTCTGGTTCCTATGGCTGTGGCAGCTCCACATCACAATTTTCCGAGACCGTTGACGGCAACTTTGGTTCAGCTGGGAGGTGGTGGCAGTGGAGCTGGTCTATGTGCCTATGAAGGACCTGACCATCATCGGTAGACACCTCATAAAAAAGGGGTCTGGTAACTCAGATTACCTTGACGGGAATCCAGGCAGGACCGATGGAAAAGTTCCTCGAGTAGACGGAGTCGTCGGGGGGGAAATCCTCTGGGTGCCTCTTGGCTCTCTGGAGATGGGCGATGTTCCAGGGGATTGGGTAGCAGCCTGTCCAGTTGGGTGGCAGGTGCCCATGAGGAGTTCCATGGGGCTGCACCCAGTGATGGTGCTCGGGGTCACTGGGTGGCCAAAAAGGAAAGCCAAGAGTCTATGGTCTCAGTCTCCGTGGACAATCTGCCAAAGGGAATCCTTCATGGTTTGCACCATCCTCTCTGTTTGCCCGTTGGTGGCCGGGTGAAAGGAAGTGGAGCGGATGTGCCTGATGAGGTAGCGGCCCATAAATTCCTGGAACTCCCCTGAAGTGAAGGTTCTTCTGTTGTCCATCACGACTGTGTCGGGTAGGCTGCGTATGCGCTGAAAATCTGTTGGAGGGCCCAGTTCACTGACTTGGAGGAGGTAGAGGTGACAGGCATCAAAGTGTCCTGGAGTGGCAGCCATGGTCCCGGAAGTGGTGCACTGCATGTAGCACTGGAGCTCGGTGTGTGGTGCAATGCTGGTGGGTGCTGGGCTGGCTTAACAGGATCCCACCTTCGTTGCCAAAGTTAAATACTGGGTTCTAGATGCATTGCAGTGATCAGCTCTGGTTATTAAGTGATTTCAGCAAACTATAAGACAAGCTAGCAGGACTTGAGCCTTGCTTATAAAGCCTGCAAACAACACAACCAACACACCCAGTGATAGGCTATTTACATTACACCATTTATCTATCGGTTAGTTCCTGGATCCAGGTGAGCTATTGTTCTGGAGAAGCAAGCTCAGCCAGTTCTAGGTACAGCTTGAGGAATGGCTTTAGGCTCAGTACATAACACATACACCCTCAAAAGTCCTGCTACTGAGGGCACCATTTCAGGGGGCACAGTAGGCTGCAGCAGGGGATGAGGTGGGAAAGCTATTTTTCATAAGTGGAATTTCCTCCATACTACTCTGTATACAATCCATCACCAACTACCAGTCCTTTCTCCCAGAACTCTTTTATCCAGTTGCCACAGAGGCAATTCTTTGCTGCAAAACTTGCTTCTTTTTGCACTAGGCACTTGGGATTCATTGAAAAAGTTCAGAATTGTGCAAACAGAAGTGCCTAGAGAGGAAAGCAGTCCTGCAGCAGACAATTGTCTCCACAGAGCCTGGAGGCCAAACAAGCCATGGTATGGATGCTGCAAATATCACATTGAATGTGTTTGACAATTGAGCTTTTCATGTTCAGCAATGGCAATCAGACATGAGCCAATCACCAAGGCTGATTTCGCACTAGAGCTGCCCCGATGTTGCGCCGCCGTTTGCCCCGATACTATTGGTGAATTTCCCACCCGAAGCTGCGGGGCTGCATTTTGACTTGCGGCTTCGCCCGGTTTTTCCCCCCGTTTCGTGGTCCTGTTTTTTGAGGATTACGAAACTGCGGAGGAAATCGGGCAAAGCCACAGGTCAAATGCAGCCCCGTGGCTTCAGGTGTGGCGAAGCCGCGGGTCAAATGCAGCCCCGCAGCTTCGGGTGTGAAATTGACCAATAGTATCGGGGCAAACGGCGGAGCAACATCGAGGCAGCTCTAGTGTGAAATCAGCCCAAGTCTGTTTTGTTCAGTGGGAAAGTCTGTTTTGTTCAGTCCAAGTCTGCTTTCTTCAATCCATGCATGTAAGGACTGCCAAACCAAACAGATCAGCATCCACTAATATTGCTAACAACTACTTCAATGAACATCACGTGGTAGAAGTAATTGCCAACTGAGTGGAGGAGCAGCACAGCAAAGATGAAGAAAGTAGAACAGGCTTACCAGTTGCCCTTCTGTAGCGAGCAGCCCTCCACCATCACACTCCTTCCCTGCACTCACCAAATGGAGCAGTGGGAGAAAGAATGGGTGTTAAAAATGGCATGGATACTGCAACCTCATTTCCTGGATGTGACACATAGAAGTGACATCATGGAGCCCACAGCACTGTAGGAATTTCCCCATATCAATATAGTCTTTATCATAGAGACTGTGGGAAATCCAAAAGTCCTGTGCCCACCATGATGTCACAACATTTGCAATACCTCCTTCCAGGGTTGAACACAATTGGGCTATAGGAGAACATGCTTGCATGAAAAGCTGATTGCACTATTCTGCAATATGAAGAAGAAATACAGGGAAGCAACCAGCCAAACAGTCACAAACAGGCTAATGAACAGCCCTCTGAAAAATTGGCTTCCTGTTTGCAAGTGGCTAACAGGACATGAGTTGAATTGGTATATATTTGAGCATCCCGAACCCATGGCAGTGTCATCAGATCACTACCAATATCAGAATGATCAACTGAATCCATTTTTAATAATCAACAGTAAGATCTAAATGGTACATAAACATAAAGGGATAATATACTGACAATATGTTGTCAATATAGTGACAGGGAAAGACAATATATTTGCATGAGAGAGGCCAAAACGCTGCATAGTTTTATAAATGAGAAAGTCAAGGGTTACCTTCAAATGATATATATGCACTGATGTGAAGAAAGCAAATACTAAAGGAAATGGATAAGAGTCAAGTGTATGAAAATAAAGTAGAAGTTTATATAGTTTATATAGGAAGTTTAGAATGAGCAATTACTGGATTAAAATCTGTGAGTATATTGACAACACACAAATATTTTTCAGAACAGGCACGGGAGAAAGATGATGGTGATATACAAATACAAACTGGGATTAACTCCTTCCAGGGTATGGTGTGTAAAATGATTCCAGGATATACAGACAGTATTTAAATTCAGCGAATGTATTCAGCATAAATCTTCATTGGATTCTCTGCAAGATTGACTGCATAGTCTGGCTGCCCTTAATACCCTGGCACAGCTACATGAATCAGCACAGCCAGTAACTTAAAACTGTGGCCTGTCTACCAATGATTATACTGATAAGCAGGGCTTTTTTTGTAGAAAAAGCCCAGCAGGAACTCATTAGCATAATAGGCCACACCCAACAGCAGAAACTCATTAGACCCCTGACAGCACAGCTCATTAGCATATTAGGCCACACACCCCATGTTTGCAGAAGTGTGGTCATCGAGACACACCCACCTTTTGCTTCTTATTCTGTTTACCTTGTTTGTTGTCAAAACCCAGGGCTTTTTTGTAGCAGGACCTCCTTTGCATGTAAGGCCACACACCCCTAACGTAGCCAGTCCTAATGAGTTTCTATCGTTGGGTGTGGCCTATTATGCTAATGAGTTCCTGCTGGGTGTGGCCAACTCGGGAGCCAGCCGGAACTCCGTTCCTGTGCGTTCCTGCCCCAAAATAGTCCTGCTGATAAGGGGAAGTTACAGAAAGGACTTACATGGTATGTCAGCTGATCAGCCACTTTCTCCCGCTAAACCAGAAATTCAATTCTCTATTAAGTCCGCAGGAGGGATTAGCCCCTTCCTGGTAAATAAAATTCACCTCAGAAGAGAAGACGGAGACTCCGGCCCTGTCACTTCCCACTGACTCTGGCCCTGCC